CCTTCCTTCCTTCTCTTCTCAATTGTTTCTTCCTTATATTTGCCCTTTCCTTTCCTACTTGACAAGATTTGACTTTACGTTCCAGGATCTTTTTGTGGTCTTTGTCCAGTTTTAGCCTCATGATCAACACCTTGCGGGGGTGGATTCCCACATGGACAGTTGTGCCGTTAGCTTTGTTTTGCTGCACCCACTCAATGTAAATGACAGATTTCTTCTGGTACACCTGGACTACCTTGCCAATTTTCTGACCTTTGTAGTGTCTTTGTACAACCTGGACTTCATCATCCTTTCTGATGGGCATGGACAGAACATTGCATTTCTGCCTCAGTTCCTTGGAGAGAGGGGAAGACATAATCTTCCTGAGAACGTGGGAAGGTGCACAGCAGTACCTTTTATGGTTCTTGCTCCGGTCAGAAATCACAAAGGGACTGAACTTCATTTTGGCCGCTGTCGCTTCAGCAACAGCCGCAAAAGGGAAAAGAGCTACAAGTTTTTTCTGGCTCTGTAAGTTTCCTCTTACACTCTCTTTTTAATGCTTTATTCTAATTGCTTTTGGAAATCTTAACCCTTAAAAATTTGGTGCTGTCTTTTAAGGATCAAGACACTTTCAGCTAACTGTCATCTTCAAGAACTATCTTTGGTTTATTTGTTTTTGTTGTAGTGTGACAGTTTGACAATTTTTCCATGTAGTTCATTCTGCTGTGCCGCCGTCACCACTGTCCTGTTTGATATCATTCCAGTACCAGCACCTAAGCAATGAGTCCTACCTCCTGTCTCTCTGGTCTCTGTACACATGTCTATCATCAGTGATTGTATACTTGTCCTTTGGAGGCTGGCTTGTGTCATGTTTTCATGGTTCCTTCATGTTGTGGCGTGTTTTGGACTTCCTTTCTCTTGATGACTGAATAACATCTCGCTGCTTTAGGAAACCCTATACAAGGTCGCTATTGAGTCTGGAATCAACTTGAAGGCACTCAACAGCAACAGCGTCTCATTGTATGCTTATCAATTTGTCTGCTAATGACTTTCTCCACCTCTTAGCTAACGTGAAGAGTGATTCTTCAGGGTATTTGCCTAGAATTGGGCATGCTGGATCCTGAAACAGTCCTCTGTTAAAAGCCCTTGACAGACTGTCAAACTGTTTTTCATAGTGGCTAGACATGGTGGCACTAAACAACTACAACAATACTGGTGTGGCATTGTAGGATCAGTACTGGACCATAGGTCGGTATTGACCACAAGATCAGTGGTTCAAATAGCTGCTCCTCGGAAACCCTAGACAGAGTTGCTATGAATCAGAACTGACTCAACAGCACTTAACAACAACAAATTACTATTCTGCACTGCCACCAGCAATAAGGAAACCCGGGACAGGGACGCTGTGAGTTGGACCTGACTTGATGACACACAGACAACAACAAGCAACAATAAACTAGGGTTCCACTTCCTCCACCCCCCCAATAGCTGCTGTTTTCACTTCTGTTGTTGTTGCTGTTGTTTCATTATAGCCATTCTAGTGGAGATGAGGTGGGATCTCATGGTGGCTTTGATACAGTCTCTCCTGAGAAAGCCTACACAGGGTCGCTCTGAGTCAGAATCGACTCGGCAGCACTTAACAATGACTAACGTGAGGAGTCCTAGGGGCACAACGTTGGGCTGCTAACCTCATGGTCAGCAGTTTGATTCCACCAGCTGCTCTGCAAGAAGGGGAGACGTTCTGCTCCTCTAAAGATCTCCAGCCTCAGAAACCCTACACAGGGTTGCTATGAGTGGGAATCGACTCAATGGCAGTGAGTGTGAGCCTTTTGGAATGACTAGTGGGGTGGGGCACTTTTTTCATGTGCTTTTTGGGCCATTTGTACACCTTTTTTGGTGAAATGTCTGTTCAAGCCCTTTGCCTATTTTTCAATTGGGTTCTTTATAAATTCTGGATATCAAATTTTAGTAGATGCATAGTTCTATTTGAAGGACTTTTAAAATTAAAAGATAGGAAATTTGCTTTGCTGGGTTCCTGAAACCATCTATTTTTCTGCTTGTTTAGCTAGCTTATATAACAGCCTTTCAAATGATCCTGTTTTACATTGTGCATAATTTTAAATCAACCTTTAATTCCTTTCTGAAACAGGAAGCTTATAAATATAAAATTATAGACACTTCTAAATTAGGACTCTAAATCAGTAAAGGTAAAGAAAAAAAACATCTCTAATTTTCTGCAAGGACTCCTCCCTGGCCTCACTGTGCCTGCTGCGCCCATGAGATGCTGAGCACCCAGGGAGAACCACAGGAGGGCAGAGGGCTAAGGGAGGGCTTATAAAGGGCGGTATTTGAGGAGTGCTGCAGGGGTGGGAAGTGTAAACACTAACAAGAGGAATGAGTGAGGGAGATCAAGTGAAGAAAATGAAAGCCAACGGAGAAGGCTATTCAATCATGGAGTCTGAGTGGCAAATCCACATACTAACAATGTTCTTTCATTATGACAGAAAAGACAGCCTTAAACTCCAAAAATTGTGAGAAAAGGGGTGTGACATTTCCAGTATTGTTGTTGTTAAGTGCCATCGAGTCATTTCCCACCCATAGCGACCCTGTACAGGGTTTCCGGGGCTGTAAATCTTTACGGGAGCAGAATGCCTCATCTTTCTCCTGCGGAGCGGCTGGTAGTTTCAAACTGCTGACCTTAAGGTTCGCAACCCGATTCGTAACTACTACGCTACCAGACCTCCTTAGAATTATAAAAACATTTGCATCTTCATATAAATGATGGAAGGCCAGATAGCCTTAAAATCTTGCCTCTTGCTAAATTCTGATGGAAGAAACTTTGGCTTTCTGGGCTGGCAAGTGGGCGGTCATGTGGAGAAGCCCTTGACTTGGGGACTGCTGGGCTTCTAATGCTCGTTAGCATTTCAGGGCTGGGCGGTGCATCATGCCAGGAGTTTCTGAGGTTTTTCTGTGTTTTGACAGTCTGGTGAACACTATGGGTCCCTTCTCAGATGTATAAATGTGCAAAATAAAGTGATAGGCTCAAAAAGGAATCCAATTATTAAAAATTATTAGCAAAAAAGTTATCAAAATGTTAAACAAATTTGTGACTAGCAATATATATGCTTCTTTGTAAATAATCAGGTATAGTGACAGGTCTAATAACCACCGTAAATTTGAAGCAGTAGTGAGTGTCAGTGATATTTAGAAGTATCTGTAACATCTATCTTCAATGTGAGTCAACTATATCTGATTACTACTGGCAACAAAGCACCATGTACTGCTATTCCTACTGGCATCTCTTATCTATGCCACAATTGAGAGGGATGCTAAATTTTACTGGGAGTCCAGTGAAAATAAATATGAATTTCTTTGGTCTTCTACGCTGCTCATGGAGTCCCTTCCCCAATGAAAAGGAACCCCGTTTAGAAACCTTGACTTACACAACACGCTCTTCCTGCTAGCTGCCAGGTGGGCCAGGGGAGGGTCAACTGGAGGTTCAGGCGGAAACGGAGGGTCTCTGCTAGGAGCCCACCCCCAACTCACATGTAAGCCTTGTAGTTGTTGCCTATCTTCTGGACCCGGATGTCATACTTGGCGTCAATGAAAGGCTCTGAGGTGGCGTAGGTCTGGGTGAGGGCCACCACACTAGCAATGTCCTGGAAATCGTAGTGGTTGTCCACTTTGACCTAATGTGGGGAGAGAGGGAGACACACACATCCACACACTGAAGAGTCTTAGGAGACCTGAGCCAAACCCATCAAGGTGCCGCCACTCGAGATGCAAAGCAGCATGGCCCGACTCCCTACCAAGCCCCTTCTCCCCATCTTCCCTGCCCAGGGGCCTGGAGCTCAGCAGGTCCCTATACCTTACCTTGCCCATACCCGAGTGAGCATGGCCAATCTTCACCACCACAGGGAACGTGGGCAGAGTCAGCTGGAAGCAGAGGAAAAGGAATAAATCGTCAGATGTACCCATCTCAGTGGGATCCCACAAGTATTTTTATTGGGAATACACTTGAAAGAGCCCTTTATAAACTATTCCAACCTGCCTACTTTATTATTTTGGGTGCTGGTTTGTTGTAAGTGTTGTCAAGTCAGTTCCGACTCATAGCGGCCCTGTATAGGGTTTCCGAGGAGCAACTGGTGAGTTTGAACTGCCAACCTGGTGCTTCAAACTGACCTTGTGGCCCAGTGCTTATCCTATAGTGTCATATATTTTTTACTGTTTCCATCATTAAAAAAATCTCTTTTTATTATGAATTGGGTGAAGGTTTACAGAGTAGATCAATTTCCCATTCTACAATCCACACACATTTTGTTTCATGCTCAGTTGTGGGGCTGGAAAAGAGCTGATGTAAGAATTCAATGTTTATTATTTTAAAGAGACCCTCAAGAGACTAATTGACCTCTAGTTCCAGATATTCATATTTTAGCAGAGGAGCCTGGAAGGGCCTTACCTCAGAAGATGCACATTTCAAAGCTGACTTTCTAGCCATCAGAAAATGAGGATGGAAGAAGAAGAATGGAGGACTGGAAGGGGCACCACCAGCCAGGATGTCAGAAGACTCAGTTATGTTCCTCTATGCCACCCACTTTCTGAAAGTGACTTTACCTCTGTCACATGAAGAGACTGGACTGGAAGCTTTTCGTGTCTCTTGTAATACATGAGATGCAATCTTGGTTTGTTTGACAAACCAACCTGACCACCAAATCTTACCTTTCTTAGTCAGACTCAGCTCTCTTTCAATATCCCTTTTTTACAAACATCACGACCACCATCAAAATGAAAAGATGCCCTTTGAGGGAAATAATGCTGACCCTGGTGAGAAGCCAGAGTCCTGTGGGAACCTAAGGGTGACCAACCACAGACACAGGCAGTATCTGACCTGAGGATCTCAGCATCCCCGGCTGAGGCCAGCTGAAGCTGTAACCTTAGAAATAATCTAGTTCAACCTCAAAGAAGTGGAGACCCAGGGCTACCAAGCATCAGTCAGAATCAGACCCCAGCCGCCTACTTTTCCAGTCAGCCCCTAAAGAAGACAGGAACCCTTTTCTACCTGGAGTCCTGAAACAGCATCCTCTGTTGAACGAAGTGGACAAGGCTCCTTTCCCAGTGACCTCACCTTCTACACTGTGGCAGTCTCCAGAAAGCAGTGCCCTGAGATTTAAGTCAGGTGGGCTCGCGTGCAGAGGGCTTTGAGCCCCCCACCAAGAAGCCTGCCCCCCAGCCATCTTAAGAGGCTGAGGCTCTGGGTATGGGAAATGGTTTCTAGAGTGCTGGCCCTTTCTCTGACATCCCTCCCCACCCCCCAGTGGGCAGTGCCAAGACACACACATACACCCCAAGTTTCCCGGACCTATTCCATCCCTGTTTACTGTTGCTTTGGAGCCTCATAAATAGAGTATTGAAGGCACTTCCTGCAGCTGAAAGAACCCTGAGTAGCTTGTCTCATTCCCAGTGTGCCGCTCAGCAAGGGGTCTGTCCTTCTACTGTCAACTGTCTCTTTTGCCTGTGGTAATTCCGTCTGTCTCTCTGGGACTCTGCCTGCTCACTCATTCTGTCTCTCGCTTTACTCGTGTTCTTTCTGCCTGAATCACAATCTTGTGCCCTCATTCATTTGTCCTCATCACTCTTTCTTTCTGTCTGACTGTGACACCAGCCCCTCTCCCCGTCTTCACCGCTAGCAGCCTCCTCCTCCGACTTCCCTCTATATCTCACGGAGCCGGTCCGGTCAGGAAGACCTCCATCGCGGGGCCTCAGGAGGCCTAGAGCCAGGGAGGGCGGAGCTCATTGGGGCGGGAACGGCCCTGAGGACGCCCCATAAAGCCTGAGGCTAGGGGCCAGCCGCCTTCCGAAGGAGCCTTGGAGGGTCTGTTTGGCGCAGTTTGTGGCCTACGGTGTCATGCCACGGGGCCCCTGGGCCGCGCCTGGCTGGGCGCTGGTGCTACGATTGCTGGCCCTGCTTCGGCCCCCGGCGCTGAGCGACGCGTGCAGCTGCGTCCCAGCGCACCCCCAGCAACACGTCTGCTACTCGGCGCTAGGTGAGTCCAGCCGCCCGCGCCAGAGCGGGGGTGGGGGTGGGATGGAAAAGGAGGTGCTCAAACAGGTGCACTCCTTACCTCCTGCTGAGCGAGGGCAACCTCACAAGTGCAGAGCCCAGCTGGCTTCTTAGAAATCAGGATTGTCTGTCCGGGGTGGGGGTCTCCATGGGGGCATGGAGGTAGAGAGGTGGTGTCACTGGAGCACAATCATTATTCTAAACTAAGGGATGTGTGTTAGGGGATTGGGGAGGGGGTGGTTTATGTGGCAGTGGCTAATATTACAGACACCCTGTCTCAGTGTGCAACCCCCCTTCAAAGAACACCTTTTGACCTTTCTTTTCCCTCTGCCTGGAATGCCCTTTGCTTTGGAAAACTCCTGTTCAGCCTTCAAGGTCCAACTAAGATATCCCCTCCTCTCTGAAACCTAATTCCCAGTGACCTCTTTGATACTCCCACTTGTGTTTGTTTTTAAATGCTGTCGAGTTGATTCTGACTCATAGCAACCCTGTATAGGGTTTCCGAGGAGCAGTTGGTGAGTTTGAACTACCAACCTTACTATTCAAACTGACCTTGCTTATCCTACAGCACCACACTGGGACTCCACTACACCTCTGAAATCTTCATGTTCTCTGCTAAAACAGGAGCTCTGTAGGAGGGGACCCTGTCTGAGGTCCATGGTCCTAAGGCCATGGCAAAGCAAAGCACAGAGGAGGAACTTCATCAACAGGTTTTGACTAATGCTGGGATGGCAAGACATAGGCTGTCTTGGTGCAGGGTCAGAGCATTTTTCTAAACTCAGTAACCATGTACTAATATCAAGTCTGGGAAACAAATGAGCTGCCATCCAGGGGCTCCCCCACCCCACCTCACCCCATCCCACTCCAGAGTTCTAACTACAATCAGATTCAAAAAGACAACAAGAACTTAGCCATTGTAGGGCCCAGTAGGCTTGAGGGGATTAGAACTTGGAGCAGCCACTGCATCGGAGGGGTTTCCAGGTTCCCGCTTCACACACAGCCTGCCTCAACAGTACCTGAACCAAGAACCCCCCCCACAACAGTCTCCAGAGGCCCCGGCATCTTCTACCTTTCGGTTCCCACTGGATGCTAAGGGGCCCATCTTTCCTTATGCAGTGATCCGGGCCAAGATCGCCAGTGAGAAGGTGGTTCCTGCCAGTGCAGACCCTGGTGACACCCAAAAAATGATCCGATATGAAATCAAACAGATAAAGGTACATGAGGCCAAGGCAGAGTAATTACCCCCGGGGCTGCTGGGAGGGTGGGGCTGGTAGATGTCAGGTGATCTGACTCAGTGGGTAGTCCTTAGGAATAGATAGATGCTGAAATGAAAGCAGATGAAATCTTGGGAGCAGAGCCCACAGGATCTGAGTGGCAGTGCTGGACGGAGTCTCAGTGCCCAGTTAGTCCCACAGCTGCCTGGGTAGTGGCCACTGGGGGTACCGCCCCTCTCACTGGAATAACCCAAGGTTGAGAATTGTTTTTAGAGAGAAATGACCCAGTTGGGCTATCTGTATGCACCAAGTCCCAAACTGTCTTTTTGTTTAGTTTGTTAAACTGAGAAACAACTTTTTGCTTGTAAAGATACAAAGTACACTCACGGACACAAGGCTGTTTTGTCTTTCAGATGTTTAAAGGGTTTGAGAAAGTCAAGAATGTTCAGTATATCTACACACCTTTGGATTCCTCCCTCTGTGGTGTGAAACTAGAAGTCAGCAGCCAGAAACAGTATCTCTTGGCTGGTAAGTTCAAGGCCAGCCACTGGGTTTAAGAGTGCCTGTCCTGAGGAGGCCCTTCCTTGGGCAGCAGGCTAATTCAGTGTCATTTGCTTAGGCGTAGACAGGCATTTTGTTAGTGAAAGGCAGGCTTGGGCTGCTGGGGGTAACCTTGGTAAACCTGTCTTTCAATGGAAGAATCTGCATTACTGTGACCTTGGCCACTTTTTCAACATTGCAAGGACAGGTTACACTCCCAGCCTAGGGAGGCCAGTTCCTTTTTGCTACACTTTTACTTGGTATACATTTTTCCTAAGTCAAACCCTGACCTTGTGAGTTCAGCTCTGTCTTCTGCCCTATGACAGTCCTTTGGAGACCTGAGAACAAAAGCCGTGCTCCAGGTCTGTTTTCTCCTAGTAGAGCTCTTCCTTGTAAGTCATAGTTCCCAGGCCCCTTCCCATCCTGCCCCCTCCTCAGCACAGGGCCCAGCACTGGACCCAACACTCCTGGCAGACTAACGGAGGGCTGTGTGCGTGGACCTGTAAGGCAGTCTGCAGTCCTGGTGTGCTGCTGCAGGATAATGTGCTGGACTGCAAGGTCAATTTGAGTCACAAAGTTGGCAGTTCAAACCCACCAGCAGCTCTTCAGAAACCATATACAGACAGGGTCACTATGAGTGGGAATCGACTCTATGGCACTTAACAACAGCAACAACAACAATGTAGCCTTTTATGTAGTCTGGATCCTGGTGTAGCTCTGTGGGTTAATGCGCTGGACCACAAAGTTGCTTTAAACTGCAAGAATGGTGGTTCAAGCTCACCAGCTGTTCCTCGGAAACCCTATACAGGGTCACTGTGGGTTGGAATTGACTCCAAAGTACTTAACAATAACAACATAATGTCTACAATATATTTTATACTGTTGTTGTTGTTGTTAGGTGCCACCGAGTTGGTACCAACCCATAGCGACCTTATGCACTGCAGAATGAAACACTGCCCGGTCCTGGGTTGCCATGCTTGAGTCCATCAATGCTGCCACAAGGTTAATCCATCTTGTTGGGGGTCTTCCTCTTTTTCTCTGACCCTCCACCTTACCAAACATGATATGCTTGTCCAGCGACTGGTCCTTCCTGACAATATGTCCAAAGTATGAGAGATGAAGTGCAGCACTCTAGCTCACTTTATACTGTAGTCTATACTATATTCTAAAAAGGTAGTCTATAATGTAGCCTATAACAGGGATGGGGTACGTACGGCCCACGAAATCATTTTGTCTGGCCCTGCCAAGGCAACTGCAGTTCTAGCTGTCACATTGTTGTTAAGTGCTGTCGAGTCAGTTCCAACCCTGTATAAGGTTTCTGAGGAGCAGCTGGTGAGATTGAATGGCCGACCTTGCAGTTCAAATCGACGTTGCAGTCCAGCGTATTAATCCACAGTGCCGCCCCACGACTCCACTGTTGTTGTTAAGTACTGTAGAGTCAGTTCCAACTCATAGTGGCCTTGCACAGGGTTTCCAAGGCTGTAAATCTTTACCGGAGCAGAAAGCCTCGTTTTCTCCTGCGGAATGGCTGGTAGTTTTGAACTGCCGACCTTGAGGTTACCAGCCTGATTTGTAACCACTGCGCTAGCAGAGCTCGTTAGTACTCCATTGTGTTGTGTTGTGTTAAGTGCTGTCGAGTCGGTTCCGACCCATAGCGACCCTGTATACAGTTTTCGAGGAGCAGCAGGTGGTGAGCTTGAACCACCAACCTTGCAGTTCAAACGGCTTTGCAGTCTGGTGCATAAGCCCACAACATCACACCAGGACTCCAGTGTTGTTGTTGTTAAGTGCCGTTGAGTCGGTTCCGACCCATAGCGACCCTGTACAGGGTTTCCGAGGACTCCATTAGGGGTGAGTTAATTCAATGTTTGACCAAGTAAAGCAGTCTAATTTTTAAGTTGATAATTTTGTATGGCCCATAAATGATGCTATAAATTTTGGCAGAAAAAAGTTTCCTCACCCCTGGCCTATAATGTAGTCTTTAGTGTAGTCTATAATGTTGTCTGGAGTTCTAATGTAGTGCTGTGGGTTAAGCTCACCTGCTGCTCCTTAGAAATCCTATACAGGGTGGTTATGGGTTGGAACCAATTCAAAGGCACTTAACAACACAATATACACTAAATTATAAACTACAGTATAGGCTACATTATGGTGGTGGTGTGCCGTGGAGTCGGTTCTGACTCATAGCGACCCTGTACAGGGTTTCTGAAGCTGTAAATCTTTACGGGAGCAGAAAGCCTCATCTTTCTCCCACGAAACAGCTGGTAGTTTTAAACTGCTGACCTTGCGGTTCTCAGCCCGATTCATAACCACTATGCTACCAGAGCTCCTTATAGACTACATTAAAGATTATATTATAGACTACATTATGTTGTTAATGTGTAGTGTCCGAGGTGAGCCTGAACCGCTGACCTTGCAGTTGCAGCCGACTTTGTGGTCCAGCACATAATCCACAACGCCATACTAGGACTTTGTAATGTAGCGTGTAATGTAGTCTATAACATGGTCTATGAGGAAGCCTGTAACGTGGCCTTCACTATCGTCTCTAATGGTGTTAGCTGTGTACAGCCACATCATGACACATTTGGCTCGCAGTGAATATGTGTGGTTCACCCATCACTCAGGCCCTATTCTAGGGACACAGCAAAGCTTGGGCCCAGCCATGTCTCCCCCAGACTGAATTGCTTGGGACCGAATACAGACATTTGTTTCTATACCCGAATGAAGGCAGTGTTACATTTTTTGGGAATTCGGGGAAAGGAAGTATTTGAGTGGTTGTGATGGACTAGGGAAGGCTTCCTTGTGAAAGTGGGATCTAAACTTGCCCTAAAGGATGGAAAGATTTACCAAGTAGGAGAGGAAATGGAAAAGCAGAGCAGGAGGCGAACAGGTAGTGGAAATTCACCGTCCACCAATCTAGACAGCACAGAATGGCCTCAAGCAGAGTGGGATTCAGCAACAAGCTACAGTCCTCAAAGAGGCCACAGTCTTTTGGGAAGTGATAGGTATTGGAGGCCACCGTGGAAGGTGCTCCCCAACTCTCAGGATATGAAATCAGGCTGGCCTGGGGTGCCTTGGGGTATGGGAGGATGAGGCAGACACCACTGAGCCCCATTTCCTACCACTAGCAGACCAGGTCTTTCAAGTTAGGCTATCCAGCCTCCTTCCTAAGCAGCTGCCTCCCTTGTGTTCATTCAGCCCTCTGCTAGGCACTAAGGGGCAGGAGGGGCAACAGGGGGCATGGTCTCTGCCCTCCACGAGATCAAAGTCAAGCAAGGGTGGGTGTGGGGATAAATGGTAACCAGACCCTGTTGTTGTTGTTGTCATGTGCAGTGGAGTTGGTTCCGACTCATAGCGACCCTGCATAAGATTTCTGAGGCTGTAAATCTTTACAGGAGCAGAAAGCCTCATCTTTCTCCCGCGGAACCGCTGGTAGTTCCGATTCGTAACCTCTACGCTACCAGAGCTCCTAGTAGAGGCGTAACAAGCTCCTTGACCTAAGGATGGCCTCTCCCACCATCTCCTGTTCATGACAGTTCCCACTGCCTCACTTCTTCTAAAACTGGACAATGGCAGAAAGTGTTCTCTTGGGTTCTGTGCCTTTGCCTTTGCCGAGAAGAGTCCCAGTGATCAGAAGTCTGTTCTCCCAGCTGTCTGGCCAGTGAACTCGTATCCATCCCTGCATCGTCTCCTCTTTGACACCTTCCTTGCCTCTTGCCCCTTCCATATACAGAGCCAACACTGCTTGACTTAGTTCTGATACAAGAATCACACTGCAGTGTAAGTTTTGCCTAAGTTTTACTTACACTATTGTGTAAGTTTCTGGTTTTTAATCTTCTTGCAGGAGCTTAAGGCCTAAGGACGTCATCCTTATTTCTGCATTCCTGGTATGAGGTCATACGAGGTGCTCACTGAGTTCAAAAAGAAGTGTGGGTTAGTGTGGTCACAGATGAAGTTTTAAGGATCAGATAATATTGCACATGGTCCTTGAAAGGTGGGAATAAACTTGATAAGTAGTGAAGGGGGCATTCTTATGAGGAAGGGGAAAGAACTTCCAAGATAGACATTCATGGGGCAGGATGAACTTCCAAGATAGGTATTTCTGGGTCCACAGAACTTGATAGACATTCTCAACTGAGAATTCTCATCTTCAACTGAGAGGTTTCATGATATTCTGAAAGTCACACTTTTCATAAATGATAGAAGGGAGTTCCAACCAGAATCTGACTTCAAAAGCCCCGTGCTGGTCCCCTTTTGCTGTAGTTAAGAAAAGGCCTTGAACTGCTCAGCTTTCACCACTCTACTTCCTACAAGCACAGTCTGCACATTTTCTTGCTATAAAGATTATAAGGGTTTGTCTGGTCCCTTCATTCAGCTCCATGTACCCACTGCCACCAAAAAGCCAATGGAGAGGCTGCTATTTGGGGCTTTTCAGGGACCAGGGCCCCTGCAGCTCCAAGGAGCAACTGTGAGCTTGACACTAACCTAGTTATCTTGCATCTCCTCTTGAAGGTCAGGTCCTGAATGATGGAAAAGTCTTCGTCAATCTCTGCAACTACATCGAACCCTGGGAGAACCTGTCCTTACTGCAGAGGGAAAATCTGAATCCTCACCATCTAAACTGTGACTGCCGAGTAAGGGACGCTCTGTTTCCAAGGCCTTTTGGGGTTGGGGAGAGGGTCTTGAGCCTTACAGTGCACCCTTCCTATGTTGCTTCATGTATGCGGGTATTCATGTGCTTGCTTGTTATCTACTTAAGATCTGTCATGGATCAGATACTGCATTAAGTTGGGGATGGGAAAGTAAGATGGTCCATGTCCCTGACCTTAAAGTATGTGTTATTTGGTTGGGAAGGAGGTCATCGGCAGACTGAGATGGCAGGAATACAGCTGCCAGACCTTCTTGTAATGGCAGCTTTTTAAAAAGTATTAAATTTGTCTTTATAAGGAATTAAGAATTCCACTTTAAGGTGAAGGAATTAAAGCTCTGGTGAGTGAAGTGACTTGTTTGAGATCAGTGGTATGCTCTTCAGTCTGTCTGACTCCAGAGATATCACTAGGGAAGCATGGAATTTCATGTGGGAACACGGAGGGATGTGAAGTCTAGGGGAGGCTTCTTGTTGTTATGTGCTGTGGAGTCGGTTCTGACTCATAGCGACCCTGTACAGGGTTTCCGAGGCTGTAAATCTTTACGGGAGCAGAAAGCCTCATCTTTCTCCCACGGAACAGCTGGTAGTTTCGAACTGCTGACCCTGATGTTCACAGCCCAATTTGTAACCACAACGCTGCTGGGAAAGGTTTCCTAAGGCAGGGCACTTAAGAGGGGGGCGCTGTAAGGATGTGTCTGAAGGCAGTGATGGAGAGAAACCCTTCTCACTTTGATGTTGTGTGGCCATGACTACAGATTACTACCTGCTACACTGTGCCCTGCACCATCTCGGCGCCCAACGAGTGTCTGTGGACAGACTGGCTGCTGCAGCGGAAGCTCTACGGGTACCAGGCCCAGCATTATGTCTGCGTGAAGCTTGTTGATGGCACCTGCAGCTGGCACCGGGGTCGCCTGCCCCTCAGGAAGGAGTTTGTGGGCATCAACCATCCTTAGGGACCAGTGGCCACCACACCTCCTCCTGCGAGTTCTGAAACCAAGCCAGTTCTTCCCTGCCGGCCTCTCTGACAGTCATCCCTGCCAGACAGTGGGGAGTATCTACTGGATGGTCTGCCAGGGTTACAGCAGGGATGGGGGCACATGGCAGCTTGTATCCAAGATCCCAGCCCAGAGTCTATCAAGAGCTGGGGAAGGCCACATGACGTTTCTGTCCTTCACCTTTTTCCCCTGCCTCTCAACCCCTGTTCATCTACCTTGTGCCTTTTATGGACAGTTAACTTCCCCTTGATCCTGGCTTACTTTATTTGCCAAAGCCAAGACTGTCTCCTTTTCTCCCCAAGAAAATGTGTTTTCTTTTGTCTTCGCTGATTTGATGAGGAGAAGAGGTGAACATTATGCACATGCGACAGTGCCGTCTTGTGATGTACAGCATCATGGACAGACTGATGTGAGGGAATGAAAAGAACAAGATCCTTGGCTATGTATATCCTTCACCCCACCCCCCACCCCCCAGATCACCTTGATCCTCTGAGACACTGTCATCTTTTCAGGGAAGTGACTTGTGGGGCACGGAGTTCCGCAGTATGAGAGTTAGAAGGGTCTAACCTCAACCCCATGCTGGAATCCACTGTATACCATTCTCGGCACAGGGGCTGACCCAGTTAGCAATAGACTTAAATATTGACTCTCTAGGTTAAAGGTCCCCATTGTCCTCGATTGATGTCTATAAGGCTGTTCTCCAGTCTCTTGCAGAGAATCCTTCCCTATCTAATAGGAAGTTCTTTAGGGTTGCTATGCGTCCGAGTCAACTCCCAGGCAGTGAGTGGGATCCCTGCTAGATTCCTAATACTTTTGCTTCTACTTCTGAGCTCCTTTTAATACTAAAAGCCTTTCCCTTTAGACTTGAAATCCCCTTCATCAGTTTTTTGATACCTCAGAGAGATCTAAAAAGTCATGAGGGCAAATATCAAATAGGGGGCAGGAGAGGAATAACGAAGGGTCCTTGCGGAAAAGAATGGTAGGAGGGGATGCTATACATTTTTCAGTTGTCAACCATGTATATGTGTCACAGCACGAAAAAACCAGTTTTGACCCCCAGGGAGCACCCAACTCCTGCTTCAGCTCAGTCCCCTTACCACTAGGTCCTGGATGCCCTGAGATCTCCCACCTCTGCGGGTTTCCTGGCTTTCCTGAAAGGGAAAGCTCTGATGTTGGCTTCAGGGATTTATTAAGGATTTAACATTCCAGACTGCTTCTGGGGAAGCTGTGGCAGAGATGAAGGAGATAGTTCTTTAAAAGACCTAAGGTAGTTTTTATCTTGTGCCACATAGTACAGAGACATGTACTATGTGGCACAAGAAGGCTCTGGATTCACAGGAACGGTACAAGTAGAGATCTCTTTGGAAAAGGAAACAAATGTGATCTCTACCCCAGAGTATGACGTTTGAAACACTTGGCAGAGACTCCCCACTGATGGGTTAAGCAGGATCACAACCTGATCACAGGCTGCCCACGCCTGGGACAGAGGACGTGGAGACAGGGGAGAAGAAGAGACTTAGACTTCTAGGTTACCATGGAAGGAAAACATTCGCAATAACCTCCTTAGCAACCAACCATCCACCTTTCAGCTTTCTCTGACGTTCTAGGATGGCCTCAGAGAAGGCAAAGTGTTAACCTGAGCTTTCTGTTAATCTTGAAGAGCCAAGAAATGAAAGAGACTGGGGAATAATGGCAGGATCAATGTCTTCCATCTGAGGAGTGCTTCATCCTTTCCTAGAAGGCTGTTACTTAAAGTATCCCATTTAATTTGTAAATACCAGATTGGGGATATTGGTCAGGAATAATTACATTCACTTGGCTTTCCTCTCCGGCAGGCAAGTGATAGGCAGACAATGAGGGAGTATGACTCATCTGACGGCACACAGAAGAGCTAAGGCTTTATCTACCTAGAGCAGTAGGAACTTCTCATTGTTGAACTTTCTGCTTGATAAATGTGGCCCGTTTCTGCTCTTCCCGAGTCTGTCTCCAGATTTTGAATACAATCTAAAACCCAGTCACTCCAGCCCCAGACACAGCCCCACAGTGTAACTCCAGTGAAGTCTCACCAGAGCCCTGTTGTCACCATGTGGCCAAGCTCCAAGTGGACACACATAGAGAGCCAAGTCCCACTCACCCACCTACCATCTCTTTGTGGTTGGGGTAGAAGGTCTGTTCAATGAGCGGGAACTTCTCTCCTCCCAGGCTCTTGTGGATGGCCACCATCTGGGCAAACTGCAAAGAAGATGTGCACATTTAAGTTTGTCTAAGATAATTTTGACAACAGACAACATATCAATCCACCAAACAACTATTTACTGAGCAGTTCTTTGTTCTGTTGGGGCTTTGTGCTAAGTACTTTGAGGATCTGAAAGCGGTAGAACAGCCTAGCCTCAGGGAACACATTGCTTAGTGAGGGAGGGAAGAAAGAGTGCACTGATACGTTAAATATTCACCCACTTGTAATGGTATTTAATCCAGTCATCAAACTGATGAGCTTTATCATCTTCATTTCACATCGGAGACTCAGAGAGGGTAAGTACCTTGCCTCAAATCACAGCTGCAAAGAGGTGCAGCTGGAATTGACACTTGGGTCTCTTGACCCGAGAGATGATGGCAAGAGATGGAGAGGTAACACAGGGCTAAGTCATGGCAGTTCAAAAACCAGTGTAAAGTCACCAGAGTTTGTGCAGAAGATTTAGGTAGTCATGGTAAACAGTGTTTCTGGGACTTAGAGCTGTCCCGAGACAGAACTCATGGGGCCTTCAACATGAGATGGTCCAAGCCCTGGAACTGCAATAGCCCCATGGTAAAGAGGCAAAGTGCTCATACAGCTTCAGGGCTAAAAGGCCTTTGGCAATACCTACCACTTCCTCCACCCCCATCCTATAGGTAAAGAAACTGAGACACAGCCACTTGCCCAAGGTCACACCATAGGAGAGCCCAATTCATTCCCAATCTTCAATTCTCCCAGCTTCAGCCAGTAGCTGCCTTTCAGGCTCTGCAGACGGACACCAGCTCTCCCCACAGGAAATACATGGAACTGCTGCTGATTCATTCCCATACCACCCACATACCCATCACATTCCCATCCCAGGTGCCCCTGCAGCTGGGGGATCCAATGTCTTCTCTTGAGTGCTACTGGATTAGTTCTCACTCCATAGGGAGAAATGTTGCCACATCAAAGCCGTCTCTATTTATCAGAGAATGGAAAGCCAGGACGGTTTTCGAAAGCTCATGTCCTATTCTTTGTAAGAGATGCTGGCACACAAGCTAATGAGGGTGGGGTGGGTGGAATCTTCTTATTTCACAAATGAAGAGACTGAGGCCCAGATGTGGGAAAAAGGTTGTCTCCCAGGTCACACCTGGAGCTGGTTAATCTCGGACAGCACCCAGGACCCTTCTTGCCAGTGCATTCTCCATTGCACCCTGTGGTGGCCGGTTCTTTGGTTCTAAGCTGTTTTGCTGGTTAGGAGTAACCAAAACCTTTCCTGCCCACTTCGATTCTCTCTACCACCTAATCTGGCCTTTCTGTCCTGCCTGCCCACTTTGCCTGGCTGGGCTCCTGGCCTGCTGCTGGATACCTGCCTGAGCTCTCCAGGTTCACCAGCATCTCTAGAATGCTGGTGCAAACTCTGCCTAGTGACCTCTGTCCTGCTGCGGCCCACACGCTGGCGGGCCACCAAGTCACATGGAGCCCTATCTTCCCAGCATGTGGGAGAGTTACACAGACGCCTCATGGACGCCCTGGGGCAGCCAAGACCAAAATGGCAGTCAGTTCCCAGGCACCAGAAGAGTGTCTGGGAACTTGCCGCACCCCCTTATGCCCAATCTCCAGTGGTCTGCTCAAGGTACAGGCTCATCTTCTGACCCCTCTCTCCCTGGGAATTTACAGGCACACAGGAGAGTCACTGATTGATTTAAATAAAGTTACTGTCTGCTAAGGGTGATTTCCTCTATGCGTAGATGGAAGAATGACTTTGGGAGCTGGGGAGGAGGGCATTGGCACTGAAGAGGAAGAGAGATGGTTCCTTATCACCCTTTACCAGGGCTGATTTTCTAGCCAGAGAGAGAATTTCAAGATCAGTTTGAATAACAGTTTGGCCTGACCCCTTCTGGAAAGAAAAAGCTTGAAATCAACCCTAGTTCATCAGTCTCCAAGACACCTATAAAAAGCGACAGGGATTTCAGATGCATCTGTAGCAATACGGAGTGGTGGCACTCTTGCTCTGCCTGGAATGCGGATTCCATTGGAAGACCTGCTTGGGTTTCTGCCAGTCTTAGAGACCAGAGACACAGCAAGGGCCATTCCCAAAGCAGCTCAGGCTCTCCTCCTACCATGAACAGTCACAGCAAACACATTTAGAAAACATAGCCAAACTTGTCACCTCAAAGGGACTTGCCAGCCATACTTGCCATATGTGCCCACTACCATTCATGGAGAGAACCACATGGGAAATGTCATTCCTGTGTCAACTGCTTAGTGACACTCAGGGAGAACTTGGTGTCTGCTCAGCAGTCTTGCTGTTCTCAAGCAATGCTGAAGCCAGTGTGCTGGGACTGTGAATAGAAAGTGTGAACCCTCACCAGACCCCAGAAGGGTCATAGTAGGAACAGGGAACTCACTTCTTTAGGATCCCAAATACTAGGGAAGTATAACACCCAGGCTAGGGTTCTGGTCCCCTCGCAGTGGTACCTGGCTCAAGGTGTGGATGAGTGGCAGGTGCTGCTGCCATTGCATTTACAGACAGCAAAACCAGGCACAAAGAGGTTTAGTCACAGGGCTGATACGCTAGGGAAATCACCCAGAAAAACTGATAGTAGAATAGCTTAGGAGCCCTGGTAGCATAGTGGGTTTCGCGTCAGTCTGCCAATCACTGCTAGGTCAGCAGTTTGAATCCATCAGCCACACCTCGGGAACGATGAGGCTTTCCGCTCCCATAAAGATTTGTTGTTAAGTACCGTGGAGTTGGTTCCGGCTCATAGTGACCCTGCACAGGGTTTCTGAGGCTGTAAATCTTTATGGGAGCAGAAAGCCTCATCTTTCTCCCACAGAACAGCTGGTAGTTTTGAACCGCTGACCCTGAGGTTAGCAGTCCGATTCGTAACCACTATGCTACCAGTTTTACAGCCTTGTAAACACTATGCATAGTAATTGTGAGTCAGAACTGACTCAACGCCACGCAGCAGCAGCAGTAGGTTAGCCCTGTGTGGCCATGTTGTGGTTGTTAGGTGCCATCGAGTAGGTACCGACCCATAGCAACCTTATGCACAGCAGAACAAAACACTGTCCAATCCTGGGCCAACCTCACTACTGTTGCCACGCTTGAGTCCATTGATGCTGCCACTTGGCCAATCCAACTCGTTGAGGGTTTTCCTCTTTTTCTCCAACGAATTATGGGGTGGGGAGTGAGGAGCAAAATGTGCAATAGGAATGGTCATGTGACTAAGAGAAAGGGAATTTTCTCTGAAAAGAAACCTGGTGAAGGCCTCACAGGAGCTCTGCAATTAGCAACACACTCCAATTACATCACTCTTGTAGCATCGACTCTGCCGGACTCGTAGGATTCCAAGCCACACAAAGGGCAAGGCTAAACAAGTGGGGCTCTGGAACCCATAGCAGCTCCCAGATTTGATTCCTTGGTCACACACTCTAAGGTCTTTCTGGCTTTCAAGGGAACAGGTGTGAACAAAAAAAGCTCAGTGCAGAGTTGATGGATGGATTCATTTGGTTCAAAAGCTCCCCCTGTAGCCCAGGAGGAGTGGAGAAGCTTGGGGTTCAGGAGCTGCACAGAACCTTGACAAGCTAGTGTATGTGTAAGAGCTATTAAGTGAGTTTTGCAAAATGAGAATATGAGGATGTGATTAGGGGCAGGTATTTTATTCAGAGCGGGCCAGCCACAATCAACAGAGTTAGGAGAACAGTCAGAAGGGAGGCCAGAGTGTCCCGTAGCCATCATGGGTCTCTGCCCACTACCCTCACTTTCTCTATGCATAAAAGTTCTCACTCTTCTTTCAGATTTCTAGAATGGCGAAGGAAGTGAAAAACCAGACCAGCTGCTTCCTTACCCAATAACCTATTCCCAAGGAGAAGCAGTGTGAACTAGAGAAATTCTGGCTTTACAATGTTGGCAGGTTATTAAACCCTTTCTGGGTCTCCTGCTTCTGCAAAAAGGGACACTAATGAAAATAATAATCATTCTTGTAAGGTTATTGTGCAGATTAGAGGAAAAGTGCAGAAGCTGGCACCATATAGGGAGTGGTTTTATAGTCAGTCCATTCCTGCCTTAAGTTTCACTTTTCTTCCCTGATGGGGTGGGATCTGATGCTCTCCAGAGGTGTTTGCAACAGTAGGCTCAGATATAACAGCAATTGTGACGGCAGTATGGGACTGGGCAGTGTTTCCTTCTGTTGTACAGAGGGTTGGTAGGAGTTGGAACCGACCCTATGACACCTCACAAAAACAGTATGGACGTTTCCAGCTCGTGAAGTGTCTGACTTGTATGTACATGGATACATATCAGTTGTAGGTTGTTGACACAGATGGTAGGACCCTTTTACTAACACTGTTCAGAGACAGACCATTCCCTTGGTCTCCAATGGCTTCAGGCCATTGTTAGAGACAGGAAACAGGCACTCTTACATTCTATCCCATGGCCAAGGGCAGAGCCTATAGGCTCTGAACTATTTTGTTGTGAGCCCAAAGTGCTCACATCCCAGCTGCACCTGGCTCACAACACAGCAGCATCTACTGCACCTCGATCCTTCCTCGAAGTGGTTCCTCCTCGGGGATAAGGAGATTCAGGGCCTGAAGCCCATCCTTTGTTCTGTAGACAGGGGACACTCACCACCCATGGCTTGTCACAGAAATTGTAAATCGATTCCAGTGAGTTGATACTGGGGAGACCTGCGTACTGCATGCCGATGATCAGGTGGCGGAAGTCTTCATTCTCTGCCATGCCAAATGCGTGCTGCCGGATGAGCACAAAGTCTGGCCGGAAGGACCTGGTAAGAAGGAAGAGGCACCTCAGGCCAACCATTCTGGTCTCCCCATTTCCAAAGACCAAAACAAAGGGTCTTAGAGTCCACCTAGTTCACGTTCTTTCATTGCTATTATTCCTTATTAAATGGGAAGTGAGGCTTTATGGCTGGATAGCACTTTCCCAAGGAGGATTGAGGAACAAATTCTGAAATTCCCTCATTTCCTCTGGGTTTATCAGAGGAGGAAAGAAACACTTGGACACTCACACCTGAAGTGAGAGATAATATTCCCTGTCTCCCTGAGGACTATGAGAACCTGAGGTTACGGGGATTCTTGAGTAGGTTCCAGCCGACTTTGAAGTCAGTGCATTTGGCTGATGTCACCACACTGCCGCCGGGAGACTCTGATTTCAGTGTTCTGTTCTGAGTCCTTAACACTTCTCCTTAAAATAGGGAATGCCCTTATCAGGCCCCCAAAAGAGCAAGGGCCAGGTTAGCAGAGGACAGATGACAGGCATCCCAATGTTATTCTTCCAAAGCGGACGCTAGGGAGGGGTACAGATATTTTTCTTTGCAGAATTGAGGTTGAGCAATGACTACAGGAAGCACTGTGAGTACAGAGTGTTCCCATGCCTGGGAAAGCTCCTGCATTTACCTCAAGTAAGCAAAGCTCCCCACAGCTGCTTCCCAGGACCGGGGCCCTGTCTACATGCCCTGACTGCAGTGGAGCCTCACCTTCCCAAACAGCATCCACCCCCAAAGTGGCAAGGCTCAGAGGTTTTATTTCATGCGCCCAGACACCCAGCCAATTCCACCTGCAGATCCAGCCCCCCAGTCCCCCAGTCCTTTAAGAGTGGGGCACAGAGAACAAAGCATGGAGTCAGCTACTCTGACCTCCTTGTGCCCCAGTTTGGGATAGTTGGTTCCAGCTGTCAAAAACTCCAACCTTGTAGCCAGGTTATAGGATTTGAGGTGTAGACTGTGGCCAGCTCCTGAGTTTCTTCACTGATACTCAGGAGGACTTTCTTCTTCTTGCCTGATCTCCCCAGGAGCCCTGCTACTGGGCCTTTCCTTCACCACCTGCTGCTCATGTGATTGCAGGTCCCTGACTCACTGGACCTGAAGCTGGAGGAGCCTGAAGAGTATCTCTTTTTCTGTGCCCCATCAGAGGATTACAAGCTCCAGTCTCTTGCTGTTAGGTCCCAGGCACCAATCTTTCCATTCCTGCCACTAACCCATTTCCTGATGGACCTCGGAGGCCTCAGAGTGCTGCTGATTGAGGTGGGGACAGGGGCTAGGCAGAGAGGACTCTTCCCAGACACCTGAAGACATGCTGAGCCCCTGGGTAGATTACCCTGGGAAACCATTTGCCCTCACCCAGAATTCCCATCACTTTTCCTCACAGAATTTTGAGTATTTTATTTGATCAAGGCTGTAAGAACCCATCACAACAACTGATAAAGAAGTGGTCAATCATTGCAAACTCTCTTCCATCTCCCATGTGGGTTTCCTGTCAGACTTACAAGTCCCCAGGGCTGAGGGACAGCACACAATGCTGGGAGCCAGGAGACAACAGTCTGTAAACTTACTGGTTGGGTCTGAGCAAATCAACTCTAAAGGAGGCTGAACTAGGTCGAGGTGTTCAAACTTTCTTACCCCCCACCCCCAGCAGTGGACCCCTGTATTCTAGGAGAAATTTCAGCAGAGATAAAAGTACAAAACTGCACTGGGTGGGTGGGCAGGGCTCCCAGCAGCTCTGGGGCAGGAATCCAGTTATGTTGGAAGGAGCCCTGTCTATGAGATGGAAGGTCCACCCTCTCTGTCTTTGCACAGATGCTGCTTCCCTCTGCCTTCTCCACCCAGCACAGCTCACCCTCTACACCTTCCATCGTGCTGACTTTGAAACTGCCTCTTCCAGCCAGAAATGGGAGCTCTGGAGGGAGTGACAGTGACCTTGAAGACAACCAGGACCTTACCGGACCACCCTGGTGCCATTCCGGAGCACCTGCATGTCCACAGCATAGGTCCCATCTGCATGCGCTATCAGGTTGAGCTCTGAAAATTCTGCCTGGAAAACAACAGGGAGAAAACTACAGCCCTGACTTTGTCAAGTTCTCCACATACCCCAGTAGCAGTCCCTCCACCAAATTTACAGTTTTCAAAGCACTTGTATATACTGATCTCATCTAACTCTCAAAGCAAGTCTGGGAGGCAGGCTTGGCAGGAATAATTGTCCCCATTTACCAAAGGAGAAAACTGAGCCGCAGAGGAGTCAAGTGACTTTTCTGGACAAGAAACACATTGTTGGCAGAGACATGAGCAAGACTCAGCTTTTCTGACTCACAGCCCAGCATGCTTTGTGCTGTTCTCTGCAGAGTGAGTGAGTACTCTCTAGATACCCCCTTGTCAGTTTCAGCATAAATGCACTAGGCTTTAGTTTGGGGAATTGGGTTTTAGTTCAGCCCCCAACTAGTTACTTCCCATCTCTATAAAATGAGAATTATTCTTATCAAGCCTGTGGATCTGACAAGTTGTTTTTAAGAAATGAATGTGATATGGGCAGGAAAGTATTTTGTAAATCATAGCACATTGTGTAAGGGAAATACATGCATTGTTTAAAGTGAATAACCCCTCGGAGGGGATAAAGGAAGATCAGGAGTGGGCCACCTCACCCTTCCACAAGGAGGTGTTCAGGAACTCCCCCTGAATCAGTCTCGGGGTCCAGGCTAGTCACCGTTGAGGGCAGCACACCTAAGTAGCAGACCTGTGCCTACCCAGCTCTCCACACCAGCAATCTGGAGGGTGATCAGGGTCCTAGGAAGGCATGCTCTGGGATTTCCCTCAGACTGGGAGGTCTTCACTAAAACAGGGCCCTGAGACCCACACTCTGGTTTCTCCACCATGACCAGGGTACAGCTGTTAGCGACTGTGCCCCATAGCTGGGCAGAAAAGCCCTGGGGAAAGGGTTGGGGAGAGGACATGGGTGGCCCAGGACCCAAGGATGGACATTGTATGCTACTCAGCAGAACTAGCTAGTTCACTCTGGGGTGCCTAGGGGAACAGTGATGACGCAGATACAGTTCTGGGCTTCAGGCTGATTACCTGTTCCACTTTGATATCGTAATCTCCAAGGACTTTTTTGCCCCGAAAGCACTTGGCCCTGGAAAAAGGAAAAAAACCCACACGAATTAGTTTTGCTGAGGTGTTTGAGATCAGAAATTTACAGTCATGGAGAGGCCAAAGCAAGTGGAACCCCAGGATGAGATTCAAGGGACCGAGGTCCGTCACCATGAAAGATTCTCATGCTAACCATTTCCTTCCTTTTAGCCTCAGTGCCTGTCAATAAAGGACTCAAGAAGGAGTCCTAGTGGCACATTGGTAAAGCACTCAGCTGCTAACCGAAAGGTCGGCAGTTCCAACCCACCAGTCGCTCCAAGGGAGAAAGAGGAGGCAGTCTGCTGCCATAAGATTTACAGCTTCAGAAACCATATGGTGCAGTTCTACTCTGCTGCTGAGTCTGAATCCACAGGACAGCAACGGATGGGGCTTGGTTGGTAATCCAAAGGGCCCTTTCATACTTAGAAATCATTTTATAATTTCATGCTAACATCTCTGGTTTACTGGCTAGAACTTCTGGTTTACAACCTAGAAGTTGTTGTCAAGTGCTGTTGAATAGGTTCCAACTCATATAGTGGTCCTGCGTAGGCTTTCCAAAGCTGTAAGTCTTTATGGGAGCAGAAAGCCTCTTCTTTTTCCCTTGGAGCAGATGGTAGAGTTGAAATACTGACCTTTCGCTTAGCAGCCCAGCCCTTAATCCATTATGCTACCAGAGTTCCTTGTTGGATTCCCATCTAGAAGTAGATGATTGCTATCGCTATTCTTGGTCAGACTAGCTCAGTTTTACAATTCTCTATGGTTTCCTTATTTCCCTGACCCTGTGTTATGTACACTCTGACTTTCTAGTTGTTTCCACCCTTGGGATTTTAGTTTTTAAAGAAACTCTTTATACCCATATTTTCAAAGAGGAATTGAAGCAATTTACCATTTAAAAGGCAAATATGACCAAGTACATACGAATTAAAGGACAAGTTGTGAATGAGATAATTGTTGTTGTTGTTGTTGTTAAGTGCCGTGGAGTCGGTTCCGACTCATAGCGACCCTGCACAGGGTTTCCGAGGCTGTAAATCTTTAAGGGAACAGAATGCCTCATCTTTCTCCCGCGGAACAGCTGGTAGTTTCGAACTGCTGACCTTGCGGTTCATGGCCCGATTCATAACCACTACGCTATACCACAGAAAAAAAGGAGGAGGGCTGTGCTGAATAAAGAGACTACAAATAAACACCCAAAAGGTCCTGTGTTTTTTAAGTTGAACTGAGTTACAAGTACCTATCCTGGTGTGGTTGTGGACTAATGCGTCAGACTGCAAAGTCGTTTGAACTGCGAAGTTGGTGGTTCAATCTCACCAGCTGCTCCTTGGAAAACCTATACGGGGCCACTATAGGTCGGAATTGACTCGACAGCTCTTAACAACAACAACAACATCTTCCTAATATGCCCTTGATCTGCAGGAACCTTACATTTAATGGTTTTACAGCCCCCTTTAAGTGACCAGGTTGGTGCTTATATTCACACCTGGGGTTCTGATATGATATGTAGGATTAGCACTGGACTGCTAACCACTAGGTCAGTAGTTCAGTTCCACCAGCTGTTCTTCAGAAACCCTATACAGAGTTGCTATGAGTTGGAACTGACTCAATGGCACTTAACAACAATAATAGCACTTTGCCCTTAACCCACCCCGTTTATCAGATTTTCTTCTCCACTAATTAGGTTGGTGCTTCATTTGTATCACATTTCACTGGAGGTTTTCTGGGAGTCTCTTCCCACAATACCCCTAACATAAACCAGTAAGACGAGATCAGCATTTAATGGACATCATATTCTAGGGATCAACTATAGTTGCTTTCAAGAACATCTCATAATCCTCATAACAACCTAAAAGGTAGGGAGAAAGGACTTCATTTTAGAGCTGAGGAAACCAGAATTCAGGAGTAGAGCGGCACATTCAAGGTCATAACACAAGTTACTGACAGAACCAGTTTTCACAGGCAAGTCTGTAGGCGCCGAGTCCAGTGCCCTTCACACTGTCTCCCTCCGTGGTGTGGTGCATGCTCTACATCCGCACATCCCCACTGAGAAAACCGACTGGCCATTTGTGCTGCGTTGCATTCCCCCGCCCCCATTTTCCCTCATCTGTCCAAAAGGGACTTAATGATGCATTGAGTACTGGTCCCACCACAGATACTTCCTGCCAACTACCCAGGATGAGGCCAGGCAATTTCCTTTCCTCTCTGGGTTCTGGAACAGCTTGTTCCAGGAAGTTGTCATTTGTTCTACCCAAGTCCCTAGTCACCCTCAAATTGCTCCTCAGAGGCACTTGGCTCTCCTTGCACTGGATCACTGAAATCCACATCCCCTCCCCCGCCCTCATTCCTTACTAAATTTCATCAGCTTGTTTGGGGGACCCTGATCACCATTCCTGGCTCATGTAAACCCCTTGGGCAGGGGGGCTGTAGCATTTCCTATCTCTCTGGCTATTATTCCGGAGTTCTGATGTGGTGCAGTAGGATAAGCACTGGATTGCTAACCTCAAGGCCATTGATTCAAACTCACCAGCTGCTCCTTGGAAACCCTATACAGGGTCGCTTTGTATTGGAACAGACTCAAAGGCACTCAGCAACAACTAAAAGTTTGATATTGTCACTACTTTACAGATCGTGGGCTCTGTAGGTCCTTGTCCACAAAAAAAAGAGGAGTAAACAATTCATGAGGTCTCTTGCAGCTTCACAAATCTTTGCCTCGAGCTTCTAGGTGGTTTCTTGCTTTGATGTCTTCTCACCAGCAATTCTCTTTTTCAATACTTCCTTCGCCCATCTCCCTGACCCACCTCCTTCTGTAGGTAAGTCTCAGCACGGTAACACTAACTTCCCATTCCGTAGGATGCTCTGCATTTTCAAAGCACATCCCATGCCTTGTTTCTCACCACTCTGTACCATCCATTTGACCAACGTGGGGTACTGTGACAGACTAGATCAATGGTATGTCCAGATTACAAAGTTCATAGGTTTGAGCCTAGAGCTCAGAGCATACATCTAGTTGCTAACATGCTGCCAAGTTGTCTAACTCACTCATTTTGTTTTGTGGGCTTTGAACACTGATATTCAAGTGTATTTATAGATTCTGGCTGAGTTTATCTGCCACTTCCTGCACCTGTCCATTGACCAAGTTGGCTAATGAAACTGTTTTCATGCTTTCTCCCCCACCCCCACCTCTCCAATGATCCTAATGCCTTTTCCTTAAGGTAATTTGTCCTGTTGGAAATCTTAGTCTATGTTTCCTGGCCCCGGGTCACTGACCTCTCTTGGCTGAACAGCAGTCTCATAGAAAAGGAGCCAAGATGGCAGCCGGATGGGGCACAGAGCCCTCTTCTGGAGAATTGCTACATTCTCACAGTTCTTGGCTCCTAGACATTTTGATTCAAGGTATTTCCATGAAAATTTCTGTAACTTACAAGCCAGTGACAGAAACAGTTCCTAATAATAAGTGAGCTCTAGTAGGAGACTGTGCTAGAATCAAGAATCTGGGCACTAGAATCTCAGGCTGGGGTCCCTGTAGCTCTACCCTTTGCTGGCTCTACGGCTTTAACCAAAAGATGCAAACTTTAAACAAGTAGATTGTCACAGTTAAACGAATCTATCTATCTTCAAAAGTATTTAAAGGAATGAAGTTAAAAATTAAACTTTTCTCGGTCCCCATTCTTCCTCTCAACACACACCCTTCCCATTATCCGTTTCAGGCATATTCTTTCTTGCATTGGGGTAAAAATGTATGACAACATGTTAAATCAACTTCTTTCTTGTTTTGAAATTTGATGTTTGTATTTAAAAATACATTTTAGTGATATGCTTTTAGCACATGTTGTTAGGCCTTTTAAAAATGTATTTATTTAACAATTGTGCAAAATTCTATTTCAACAGTATGCATATGATCTAATCAATATGTTATTGATGGACATTTAACCTTCCAGCAGTTGTGTTGTTTGTTTGTTTGCTGTTACAAACAGTGCGGCAATGGCTTACATTTAAGAATCTAGTCATAAGGTATACATACCTCGTTGCTGATGCAAAGGATAGATACAATGACAGTTTTTACTGATACTGCCAAACTGCACCCCCATCACTCCCCCCACAAAAGAAAACGATGACACCCCTCTCACTGGTGTCTGAAAGTTTGTGAAAGTTACTTCACCTCCTTTTGTTTCCCCCACAGCCTCATACATACACTGTACACGGAAAAGGTGTTCCGCAAGGTGTTCTGATCAGCAGTCTTGTCAAATCAATCCAAACGCATCCATACCCTTGTGCTCAATTCTAAACAGGACCCAAGATGTACATCCTTGAAACACAGACTAAAAATATCTATGATGCCTGTGTTGTCAATTTCCCTCTATTGTAACATTTTCTTAACAAGCCTAGCAGCTGAGGATCTATGTGAGTTTAATGGTTTGCAGTTTCCTTGATGGGCCAGGTAATGAACCATCTTCCCATATTGCTAAATGACTAGAGGCTTCTAGATTTAACTATTCCTAGTCAAGGCAGAGGAGTCCTGGTGTGGCACTGTGGGTTACTGTGCTGGACTGCAAAGTCTGTTTGAACTGCAGGGTCGGCAGTTCAAGCTCAACAGCTGTTCCTCGGAAACCCTATACAGGGTTGCTACATGTTGGAACCGACTCGACCGCACTTAACGCCAACAAGTCAAGGCAGAAGGAGCCATGACATGGCATAGTAGATTAAACTGTGGGCTGCTAACTGCAAGGCTGGCCGTTGAAACACACCAGTTGCTCTTCTGGAGAAAGAAAAGGCTGTCTGTTCCCATAAAGATTTACAGTCTCAAAAATGCTATGAAGCATTTCTACTCTGTCCTACTGAGGTGGAATGGAATCAACTTGACAGTAGTAGGTGGGTAGTAAAAGCACTGAATACCTGCTTAGTTTCCATCAGCCTGCCAATTAGAATTTGTGAGACTCAGGAGTGGCATTCAAGAGACTTATCTGCTATGTCACCTCAACCTGGCTCAGCCCAGGTAGAAAGAGCGCTCAA